CCAAGACACAGAAATTCCATTTCTACATATATATATATAATACACACACACACACACACACACACACAATAGAAATGCACGCACATGTGCACCCAGAATCTGGAAACACCAAAGAGCATCAATAGCAGAATGAATAAACTGTGATATATTCATAACTGGATTAGATATGACAATAAAAATAAATGAAATACAATTTCATAAAACTTACATAATGTTGAACAAAAAAACCAGACACAGAGGACTAGATACTCTATACTTCATTATATAAGGTTTTAGAAGAATTAAGTAAAACCAAACAATGGTGTTTAATGATGCACTTTTATAAAGACAAGGAAGCACTGATTACCTTTGGTGATGAGGAATAAAGGGCAGCAATCAGAAGGGAGCACAAAGAAAGCAAATGAAGTACTGATAAGACTCTGTTCCTTGACCTGATAGTTATATGGTTGTGTCACAAAAATTCACTGAGTTGTACATTTTTGGTTTGTATACTCTGTATGTTAAATTTCACAATTAAAAAGTTTTAAAAAGCATATTTAAATTAAACCTTTCAAAACATTTGTTTTTATAATTTTTAACACTAAAGTTTAATATTACAAACTAATTATACATGTGCTGTTATCTCAAATAGTATCAAGAAATGAACATTACACCACAGGAATGTACATATCACCTATATAAATATTCCAATAAACTATACTCCAACACATCATTCTTATAGATGTATAGATGTTATCATTTTAGAGCTAAATATTGAGTATTTCTTCAGAATAATTGGTATATCAAGAAAAGAATATCAGGACACCTGGGTGGTTCAGTGGGTTAAGTGTCCAACTCTTGATTTCGGCTCAGGTCATGATCTCATGGTTTGTGAGTTCGAGCCCTGCATCGGGCTCTGTGCTGACAGCTCAGAGCCTGGAGCCTGCTTCAGATTTTGTGTCTCCATCTCTCTCTGCCCCTCCCCCACACACACTCTGTCTCTCTCTGCCTCTCAAAAGTAAACAAAACTAATAAAAAAAAATTTTTTTTTTAAAAAAAGACCTACCTGGAAAATCCACAAAATCTCCCCATCTCAATATCTTTAAATTAATTATACCTGCAAAATTCTGTTTTTCCCCCCAACATTTTTACTGATATATAATTAACATACAATATTATATTAGTTTCAGGTGTACAATATGATTCCACAATTCTATACATTACTTAGTGCTCATCCTGATAAGCGTACTCTAAAATCCCTATCACCCATTTCAACCATTCCCTCACCCACCTTCCCCCTGGTAATCATCAGTTGTTCTCTATATTCAAGAGTGTTTTTTTATCTTTTTTTTTCTTTGTACATTTTGTTTCTTAAATTCCATGTATGAGTGAAATCATATTGTTTTTGTCTTTCTCTGACTTATTTCACTTAGCATCATATCCTCTAGGTCCGTCCATGTTGTTCCAAATGGCAAGATCTCATTCTTTTTCATGGCTGAGTAAGATTCCATTGTATATATACCACTTTTTCTTTATCAGTTCATCTATTGATGAACACTTGGGTTGCTTCCATGTCTTGGCTATTGTAAATAATGCTGCAATAAACATGGGGGTGCATATAACTTTCTGAATTAGTGTTTTAATTTTCTTTTGGTAAATATCATCAATAATGGAATTACTGAATCATATGGTGTTTCTACTTTTCAATTTTTAAAGGAACCTCCATACTGTTTCCCACAATGCCTACACCAATTTGCATTCCCACTAATAGTTCATGAGAGTTCCTTTTTCTCCACATGCTCACCAATACTTGTTATTTCTTGTGTTTTGATGTTAGCCATTCTGACAGGTCTGAGGTGATATCTCATTATGGTTTTCATTTGCATTTCCTTGATGATTACTAATGTTGACATTTTTTCATGTGTCTGTTGGCAATCTGTACATCTTCCTCAGAAAAATGTCTATTCAGGTACACTGCCTATTTTTTGGTATTGAGTTGTAGAAGTTCGTTATATATTTTGGATATTAACTCCTTATTGGATATATCATTTACAACTATCTTCTCCCATTCAGTTGCCTTTTGTTTTGTTGATGGTTTCCTTCACTGTGCAAAGGCTCTTTATTTTGGTGTAGTCCCAATAGTTAAATTTTGCTTTTATTTCCCTTGTTTGAGGAGACATATCTAGAAAAATGTTTCTATGGCTGATGTCAAA